AGGTTAACCACGACACTTACCCCGCCTCGCAATCAAATTTTAAGTTTCCAATACACTCTTGCCTCGCGAATTAGTGTCCGAAATCCTCAAATCTAGTCATAAACAATTCAATATCTTCAATACAAATCGTAGGAATTAATTCCATATGAATTTACTAATTTTTCGGATAAAATCTGAAATTCATTTTAAAAATCAACAGTGGGACCCACATCTTGAATCCCGAAAAAATTCATGAAATCCGAACACCCGTTCCGATAAGAGTTCAACCATAAAAAAATTATCGAATTCCGACATCGGATTGGCTTTCAAATCTTCATTTTACATTTTTTGAAGATTTTAAAAAATCTGATTTTTCTTCCATAAATTTACGGATTCAAAATGTAAATGAGTATGGAATCATGAAATATAATCAATATAAGATAAGAAACACTTACCCCAATGTTTTCCCGTGAAAATTACCCAAAAATCGTCTTACCCGAGCTCAAAATCATAAATGGTGGAAAATAGGTCGAAATCCCATTTCTAGAACTTAAGTTCTGTTTGCCCAGATTTTTACTCATCGCGATCGCGAAAATTCGTTCGCGATCGCGTAGAACAATTCCTGCCCATGTCCATTTTACTCTTCGTGATCGCGGGAATGGCTTCGCGATCGCGAAGCTCAACTTTGCTGCCCTAGAAATTTACTCTACGCGAACGTGATGCTCTAACTCTCATACTTACGCCATCGCGAACGACCTCACGCGTTCGCGATGAGCAAAGTATGTGGCCCAGCTTTAGCCTTCTTAACTCTACGCGAACGCGACCTTGGCCACACGTTCGTGAAGCACCACTTCACACCACTATGCGTTCGCATCCTTCTTCCTGCGAACGCGAAGAACAAAACTTCCTTTAGCCAGTTAAGCCTACGCGATCGCGTCCTCAAATTCGCGAATGCGAAGAACAACTTTAGCTGGTCTCTCAGATTGCCTTACACGATCGCGAGACCTCCCTCGCGAACGCGATAAAGAAAAAGTGTGCAACAAAACACCAAAAAATCTGCTATATTCCTTAAGTGCAAAATGGCATGTTGAGCATCCGAAACACACCCGAGCCCTCGGGGCTCTAAACCGTACGTGCACACAAGTCCAAAAATATCATACGAACTTGCTCGCACGATCAAAATACCAAATGAATGCCTAGAACTACGAATCAAATACCAAATCAAATGAAATTTTTAAGAAAACTTAGAATTTCTATTTTAACAACCGGACATCTGAATCACGTCAAATCAGCTCCGTTTCTCACCAAATTTGGCAAATAAGTCATAAATGACATAACGGACCTATAAAATTTTTTAAAACTTAAGTCCGACCCCTATATAAATAAAAGTCATTTTGTGGTCAAACTTTGAAATCTTTGAGCCTTTAGGCTTCTAGTTTTCGCCAACTGGCAATAATTCAAGTTAGGGACCTCCAAATTAAATTCTAGGCACACGCCCAAGTCCCAAATTACGATACGGACCTATCGGAACTATCAAAATACTGATCCGAGTCCGTTTGTTCAAAATATTGATCAAAGTCAACTCAGTTGAGTTTTAAGGCTCTATTTCACATTTTAATCAATTTTTCATATAAAACTTTTCGAAAAATTATACAGATTGCGCACGCAAGTCGAGGAATAATGAATAGTACTTTTTGAGGTCTTAGAACACAAAAATAATTATTAAATTTAAAGATGATCTTTTGGGTCATCACACAAAGTTGAAAAGAATGAATTTTATGTACCTAGGTTACAATTATTTTTTCATTACCATGTAAAAAGTACACTTATAAATATTAAAGAAAAATTTAAGAACAAGACTCAACCCGAGAAAAAAACCATAACATGTTTTTTTTTAAACTTTTAGTTTCTTATGTTATAAAAAGTAGCTTTTATTTATTTCCTATATAAAATATTTATTTTAGAATCTTGACAAATTAAATTAGATTTATTTATTATTCTTCATGGAAATGAAAAATTGACTGTACTTATAATCTATAGTCATAATACATATTGTTTACTGAACCTTCCTCTAAATTAGAAAAATCAATCTTTAAATATGTAATTCTCTAATATATACCATGTATTTTTTTTTATGTTGAACAAGTTTTTAAACTTTTAATCTCTTTTATTATAAAAAGTAGCTTAGCTTCATTTTTCTACCTAATTTGTTTTAGAATCTTGATGATAAACCAATTGTCAAAAAGTTACCATTAAATTTAAAGCTTCATTAGGAATGCATTAGATCTCCTTTTCAAAACGTTAAATTATTATTTAGTTTTCAAGCTTTTAACATATTAAGAATAATAATAACTATTTATAATATGATTGGATAAAGATCTAGAATTGTTTTTAAAGAACAACTTCCTCAATACCGACCTAATTTAGTGACTAGAGTTTTACGATAGATAAGAATTTCAAAGAATATATATTTGGAATGTAGAAGTGCACTACAGGATAAACAATTAGATAAATATTTATATTCAGTAATTAAGTTTTATAATATTTTGATGAAATAACCATTATACAAATTCTGATGTAACATAAATACTTATAGCGTTTGGCCAAGCTTCTTTTTGGCCAATTTTTTTTTTTTAACCAAAAGTATTCTAAGTTAAGGCGTTTGGCTAAACTTTTAGAAGAAAAAAAGTATTTTTGAGTAGGAGGAGAAGAATTTTTCGAGAAACAGAAAAAATAGCTTCTCTCTAAAAGTATTTTTCGAAAAGTATTTTTGAGAAAGATACACTTAAAAACACTTCTTAAAAGCTTAGCCAAATACTAATTACTGCTCAAAAATACTTTTTAAATTAATTAACCAAACACAAGTTGCTTCTTTCCAAAAGTACTTAAAAAAGTATTTTTGCGAAAAACACCTTTTAAAATAAGCTGATTCTAGAAGTTTGCCCAAACAAGCTATTAGTGTCATCGGTCAATTGATAGTCCAAATTTATATTACTTATATTCTAAAGAGATAGTAGTCAAGATATAACAACATAACGTATTTATATCTCATAACTATAATAAAATATTTATAGTTACAAATATTATATAACTAATTCAACTAAATTCATCATCTTTGCATGTATAGAAGATACTAAAATTTAGCTATTGTTTCAATGTATGCACCAATTTATTATTTTCTATATATTCTATATATTAATTGGCGCGAAAGACATGTGCAACACACATAACTAAAACTAGTCCCAATAATAGCAAGAATCATCCTTAATGTTAGTTTCCGTCAAGAAACTAACGACTTCAATGAACCAACAAATTATGAAGGTTATGCATATTACTTTATCATGGTTAAATGACAAGCTAGTGATGTGATGAGGTGAGATAAAATGAGATATTCTAGATTAAGATCTAGGATTAAATTTATACTCTGTTTAGTTGGAGGTATAAATTTATTAAGATCTAGGATTAAATTTATATTCTGTTTGGTTGGAGGTAAAAATTACCTCCAAGGTAAAAATTACCTCCAACCAAACAGAATATAAATTTAATCCCAGATCTTATCCCACCTTATACCTCATGTCAAACGACCCCTAATTGTATTCATTGTTTTTGCGTAAACGCCGGTACTAAGAGCCCGTTTGGACATAAAACTTTTAGAAAAATTTTTACTTTTTTTCGAAATCAGTGTTTAGCCATAAAATTTTTAATTTTCACTTGAAAATGAATTTTGAAAATTTTCGAAAATTTGAAAAACTCCAAAAAACTATTTTTCAAAATTCACTCATATCACTCACAAAACTTAAAAAAAAACCCAAAATTATATTCATGTCCAAACACAACTCTAATTTTCAAATATCATTTTCACTTGAAATTTTTTTCACTTTTTTTTTTTTTTTTGGAATTTTACAATTCAAATGTCCAAACGCCCACTAAATATTTTCCCAACGTCTTCCTGCCAAATTCCACCAAATATGGAAATGGTTCTGGTATAGCAANAAGTGTTTACCATCATAGCACTATCTTCTTTCCTAGAGGATCAGCTGCAACAAGATTTCTGGCTCCCAACATATACAACTTATTTAAGTGTCTAAGAAGGTCATGAATAGCCGAATTTACGACATCTTTTTCCTTCTTTTTTTTGTGTGTTTACACCAAGTCCAAATTACCCCTGAAGAAATAAACATAATTTCTGAGCTAATTTGTTCAGTAATACTGATGGAGTATATCAAGTTATATACTTGGTGTGTGGGTAAGCACCTTCCTTTAATAATTTATGCACTTTATAACCAGAGGCGTATTCAGCGTAGAAACTACGAGTTCAACCGAACTCACAGTTTTCGCTCATACCCTGTATTTTTGCCAAAAAATCATTAAATATGTATAATTAATAAATTTTGAACCCATTAAATTAAATGAGATATAATAAAATTATAAATCTGAACCCATAAAGTTTAAATCCTGGATCCGCCTCTGTTTAGAACTTGATCACACTTCTTTGAGTTAGTTGTTAACAATGCCCTCTACTGTTCGCAATATATTATCACAACCCAAGTATTTAAAATGTACCACATTCTGCAGAAAACAACAGACGATGGATTTGGTTTAAAAGACAAGATAGAACCATTCGCTGCTTTATTCACGACACTTAAAATGGTTGAAATGTCAATGACCTCGTTAAGAAACAGTGTTCACAATCACTCTCAGGCACATACCACTAACTAAAACTGCAAATTGTTGCATCAGTAAAAAGCACTTCAGGTCAATAGCAGCGGAAACACCACATGTAACACCAAGATTTGGTTCATAAGACATCATTCTGATAGGCTAATTCATAAACTGAAAGTTGGATAACAATCCGCGATATCAACCCCTCACATTTGTTTTAGAACTTGCAAATGAAATCATGATCATAGGTGGATATCACAGGTTGCACTCAATTTCTCCACTGGAAAACAGGAAGTGATTGTGGGAAAAGAAAAAGACACAAATCAAACTCCTCCTGCCTGTACTGCAGCAGAAGTTCGTCGATGAAAATAATGCTTACTATCGCAACAATCTTAGTATCCTACAGGAGAATTCTAAACCACGAATATAGTCATACTACTTTTACCTGTGTTTTCTACACCAGAAAGAGAAGCTAATACAAAAAAGAAGCTTACTCAATACCCAAAATGTACACAATTAAAGCTGCTTACTACATGCTTAACTACACAGATTACATGCACCTGCAATGAGCATAATCTACATAGTCACACAATACTATCACCATCTCGACTGCTTTCCTCATTTTCCTCTCCCTCATCTTTATTTCTCGTATCCCCCTTTACACGTTGGCGCCTATTGCTATTTCCAGCTTTTGAGCTTCCACCATCATTATCAGCCACAAGACCAATCTGGATTGCTTCCAAATACAACACCTTCACCAAATTCTTGAAGCGTCTTCTGAATGTTGGCACCCGGGATAATGAACCGACAATGCCCTGCAACCTATTTATTCATATAAAAGTAGTTCAGTTCTCACTCTAATTTTAAGATAATATTAGAATTGTAAATTCCAATTAAGCGGACAGTGTGAGTGATTCTTATGAGGACGATATGACTGATTGTAAAATATCTGGTTGACTTTGGAAAAAAGAAAAGACTATAAGAAAGTTAAATAGTTTAGTTTGTACATGTAATAATACCTCAATATTTCCCCAACCAGTACATAAATACTGAAGTTCAATATTCAACTGATGGTCTGACCCAAATACTGAATTAGGAGTATTCTTTATGGTCAAATGGGGACGTAGTAGTTCAATACGGTGGCAGACCCAAGTGGTGGCTAGCGGGTTCAACTGAACCCGCTTCACAAAAAAATAATACCGTGTATATGTATAAATTAGGATTAAAGCTGTTTAAATTTTGCATAAATATTTTATTTGAACCCACTTGACAACTACTATTTTACGACTAAATTTATATACTTCTAAGATTGAACCCGCTTGCACAAAATCCTGGGTCAGCCACTGGTTCACTACGTGAAGATAGACCTAAAGGACTAAGTAATCACATTATGATTGCATATATGCCATACACGCAAACAAACACTAATATTTTGATTGAAAAATATAAAAAGTTCATAAAGCATTTCATAAATATGATTGCATATATGCCATACACGCAAACAGACACTAATATTTTGATTGAAAAACATAAAAAGTTCATAAAAAGTAATCACATTATGATTGCATATATGCCATACACGCAAACAGACACTAATATTTTGATTGAAAAATATAAAAAGTTCATAAAGCATTTCATAAATATGATTGCATATATGCCATACACGCAAACAGACACTAATATTTTGATTGAAAAATATAAAAAGTTCATAAAGCATTTCATAAATATAGACTTACCTCCTAATTACAGCTTGCAATTGTGCTCTCCTCACAGTATCAGTGGATGGAAATCCTGTGTTATCCCATTCCTCCGGTCTTTCATTTTTGCACCCCATTACCAACGTCCTCAAGCTAATTTCTTCATCTTCTCGCAATTGCAGTTTTTTTATTTGTTCCTTCATGACTAAGAGCGGCCCAAGAAACCACTCGAATACTTTATCCTTTGGCCAGTTAGACTTTGTCAATTCCACTTCATCAGCTGTACATAGCATAAAAGACATAATTTCTTCGTTAAAAGTAATGCATAAGTGAAAGAGGAGGAAGATAATTAAAAGGCTAGCCCGGGAAAAGACGTACAGATAAGCAGGCCTGGCGAGTCGGATTTTGCAGATATAAGCAGACACTGTAGAATTGACCAAGCAGGTAATTTGATGCCTAGCTTCTTACAGTCCCCCTTGACGATACATTCCTCAATATCTTTGACATCTATCAAGCCTTCACGTAAGAGTATTCTGCCGTTAACCTCACAGGATTTAAAGAGCCAACCCCATACCTACCACAGACTTACCATTTAGGTTCAAAAAATGAAAAAGATTTAAGCTGCAAATGATTTTTACATATGCCTTTTTATACCTGCATGGGCGTATATTGTTGGATGGTCTGTTTTAAGGTTCTTGATCCATGCGAGATAAGTTTCAAGCTGCGTGATCCTTCTTTTTCAATCTTCTGCTCAATTGAGTTCTTACTCTCAAGGCATCCGGATGAGCTCATATTTCTTCGATATTGAGGCCTGGCTGCCGGAAAGAATCAGACAATCAACATCGTTGATGACATCATTAACTTACTCCCTCCGTTCCACTTTATGCGGCACGATTCAGAGTATGAGGTCAAAGTTCTTAATTTTGACCGTGAAATTAGACATAGATTCTTCAATTTTTTAAAAATAAAATTTACATATTTGGAAACTACATAAAAAAGTATTATTAGTCGTACATAATAATTTACAATTCAAAATATTTAAGAAAGAACAACCTAGTAGACTCCTCAAATAGTAATATTGCCACATAAATTGAAACACGGAGTATTTCATATCATGGATTAAAGGGTTGGTTTCTTTCAGACCATAATGTAATGAACTAAAAGTGACCGACTGCACTATACAGGCAATACCTCGCGAAGCATGACCCTTCCCTCATGTCAAGTAGGTCATTTGTGTATTCGTCAAATATGGAAACGGCTGCTAGGATGTACGCAAGTCCCATGCGAAATGAGTCTTCCTAGGAAAACTCGTGTCACTTCAGTAAGAATCAAATAATGTGGCTCATATGATAATCTATTGAAAAGGAGGAAACAGACGGAGGAGAGCAAACAGACCTGATGGACCACCACCCCGCTGTAAAGCGCAAGAGCAAAACTTGAAAAAAAAGATGCCACCACAGATACAGCAACAGCTAAAGGCCACAAAAGGATTGCAAGACCAGCAAATGGAACACAAACCGTCTCCAAAAATGGGCCTTCCCTTCCAATTAAGTCTTCTAGTAGCCTCTTCCAACCCCTAAACAGCATGAACGGGCTCTTCCAAAGAGCAAGCGCTGTAATAAAGGGCACATCCACTGGAATTGCGAGCAGAGAAACCAACACGCAACTTGGCAGCTTTGACAACCTAGGACACAGCACGAAAATGAAAATACGGTTCTCTGTAATTAACAATCTCCGGCTAATGCTATGGAAAAGAGGATTCGGATATCACTCACTTCACTTCCATTGGTTTCTCGTCTGGATCCATTTCCTCAGAAAGCTCGTCCATGTAAGAAAAGTAAGAGTGGAAGCAAAAGTCTGTAAAATCCCGTACTACTGTGCAGCTCCCTTTAAGAGTGGAAATACAACCATCCTGATAATTTTATCAACTATAATCTTTGGCATGTAAAATACACGATTACAGTTGAACGAACAAAAGGAGCTTGCAGAAACATTCACGGTGGAAATACAACCATCCTAACAATTTTATCAACTATAGTCATTGGCATGTAAAGTTCACAATTACATCATAACAAACAGAAGGAACGAGCAGGATTGTTCATAGTAATCTAGCTCTCTGGCTTATAAATTACACACACACACACAATGTACATATATGTTCTTTTTAATCAGTAGATTTCATGCACATATTATTCTATTGAAGAGCTAGAAATGTTTGAATCTTTTAACATGAGCACTCTTAACTCCGAAACCAGCAAACGAAAGCTCGAAAATGAAATGACAGTAGCACCCTAACTACAAGGATCGATGTCTTGTCCGACAATGGGAGATTAAATTTCATCTACTTAATATTAGTTAATACTATCAGACAAACAAAAAACAGAATTTGAGTGAATGCTGAGACTCACCACAAAGCAGTGGAAGATCTTCAATGTGATATTTTCTCCAATAGCCTCAAAAGTTGCTATCAGCGGGGCGAAAAAACCGTACCCTATCCCACCCAGTAGACTCCCAATAATGGCTATTATGGGCCAAAGAATCAGAGGAACTGGCAATGAAACCAGTAATGCAATCTTCAAAACCCATCCAAGTTTTTTTGTTCTGAAATGTGAAACACATAGCACAAAAGAAACAACAAAATACTATATCAGATACATATACAATATGTTGCATTCTAAAGGGCAGCACGGTGCACAAGCATCCCGCATTCACACAGGGCCCGGAGAAGGCCCGCACCCCCAATGGAGGGTGATGCAGGCAACCTACCCGATGCAAACGTCAATGGCTGATTCCACGGCTCGAACCCGTGACTTATAGGCCACACGTAGACAACTTGACCGTTGCTCCACGGATCGCCTTCGATATGTTGCATTATGTACTATTATAAACAATAAAAAAAGACTTATGGTAAGAAAACACATACTTTGTCACACAGTAGTAGGTCCAAATAAAATGTGCAGGCCATAGCCCAATTACAACCGCTGAATTCCCAACTGCTATTATAACTGTGACAATGGGACCAATTATTAATCCTGTCCAGACAAATATCAAACTTGTCAATATCCAGAACAACATTTAATGTCAACAATTTAATGTTCTCTTACAAACATTCTCTCTGTCTCATTTTCCTTAACCAAAAGCTCTATCCAGCCAGATTACTCCAACTTTAAAAGTGTGTTAACATCATAACATGACCAAAACAAACAAGACAGTAACTTTGAGTAAAGTGGCAATGCTCTCAAAAAATTAATATTCATAAGTACCACGCAAGTTTAAATCTTTGATTCGTGTCTGCGCAAAATATACTTCACATACCACTTCTTTGTAATATCTATAAATTTAGTACACTCCACTTACTACTACTTTGTGATATGTAAAAATTTAGTATAACTATGTCTTACAATTGTTCAAACCAAGGGTGTATGAGACAATTTATTACATGATCATGCAAACATTTAGGGGTTGATAAGGAAATACTCTAAAGTATATATAGTACACCTTTGAGAAGGCCAAGGAGGAAGAGCAAGAAGAAGAAAGGAAGAAATGATATAAAGCTCCAAAGCTTAGCCAAGAACCCTACTGGTACTTCCATTATATTAAAATTAATGGTTTACTAAAAACCTTCTCTTTACTGAAGTAGAAAACTTGATTAAAATCAAGAACCAAAATCTAAAGTTAATAGAAAGAATAATTTTTAAGGAATAAAGAGAGAGAGAGAGAGAGTATGAGATGCAAAGGAAAAGGAAAAGAAAAAAAATTGTGAAAGAGGACAAAAGAGAAAAAGAGAAAACAGAGCCGTTATGAGGGGTGGAGCCATAACGTGGCAGAAGAAGGTGGTAGGTGTGCCACGTGGCGGAAGTTAACTACCTTTAAAGTGAGATTCCCGCGTGGAGGAGGTTGGATAGTGTGACAAACCGGTGACACTTCACTCAGCACTCACGCACATCACCACGGGCTTTGTTTTGTCGTTTTATGCCCTTGGGCTTTGTCCACTAACGCCTTAACGGGTTATTTGACATTTTCGGCCCATTTAACACATGATTTCTTTCACTTTTTAGTGAATGCCAGAAATTATTTATATTTGATAATCGAAAAAGTATATAAAATTTATATAATTTTTATATATAATATATATTTTTTAACTATTATTTTGAGAGCGATTATACAGTATCATTTTTCCTTGGAAGAAATTCAAAAATAATCAGATTTATAAGTGATAATTCAAAAATAGCAACAGTTTCAAAAGTCATCGAAATTTAGTCACTTTTCATGTAAAGATAAATCTGAACGAAAACACTGTGCAAAATTCGGAAAAATACTCTATTATACTGGAGTTCCAGCAAAGTATACTGGAACTCCAGTATATTATACTGGAGCCAGCAAAGTATACCGGTCCAGTATAATATGCTGGAAGTTCATACACAGGTGCACCGAACTCCAGTATATTATGTTGGAGCGGTCTCTGTTGCAGCAAAATAGTGACTATTTTTCAATAATTTAGTAAATGCCGGCTATTTTTGAATGACCAATCCGAAAACTGGCTAGCCCGTACTATTTTAACTGTTCCCTTTAACTAATATAGGCCTGTCCATGGGCTTTAGAAAGTCCTTTTGGAGTCGTAACGGGTTAGTACACAAACGGCAATTCTTAGGGCTACTATTTAAGGATTAATTAGTATTTAATTTGTCCTGAAAATTAAACTAAAAATAATAAATTCAGAATAATTCAGGATATTTATGTCCCAAAAATTAACCAGAAAATTTAAATTTTGGAATACATTACTTAATTCCTAAATAGCAATCATTTAGAGTGACCACTTCACATTATTTCTACCATCGTAACGAATATTTGGACATCCTGTTTATGGACGCTCAATTTTTCCTCAGCTTATACATCAACTTATACTCTTATCACAAAATACAAATAAAAAAAGGATATGTATATGATATGACAGTAAATACTTTTTTGGTGTTTGTAGCACAAGAATATTTTTTAAATAAAAATGATAGAAAATAATTCCTTTTCTGGCAGGAGTCATTTGTTTTTTCTTTACAGTTATATTCCTACATGTTTACCTCTTTGAGATTCAATCATTTTTATTTCTTGCTTTGGAACCAGGTATATATCATAAAGTTTTTAATTTAACTAATGAATCTCTAACATTTGTTTTCATCAAATGATTAAAGAACTAAATCCACTTAATTGCGAAAAGGAAAATATACCAATTATAAATTTGGCGGTTGGAACTTAAAATTTAAGAATTTGCTTTCTGTTTTTGTAACCTATGTGTTACTCTACGGTAAAAAGTTATTCTCTACCTCAAAATTGGATAACAATTAAATTTATACACGATTTTAACGATACGTAGTTTAATTTAACATGAATAATTAAGAATATCAGATAAATGAATTAGAGACGAAATAAACGATCAAACCAATTGCAATATTATGTCCAAGCCTGAACTTGGATTGAATGGTGACCTCGTCCTCGATTGGACCCTCGGTTCGAGCCCAGCTGTGAATGAAAAACATAACAAATGAGCAAAGTCTTTTACAGTAGCTGCAGGAAATAAACTTTTATTACTTTGATTTGCGTGTTACAATGTGTTAGACTAAAGAAAAACTTTCTCTTTATATAGTAGGAGAGCTTCAATCTTAGTGTAAGTCTAAAAAAAAGGTAAAAATCTTCTTTTCTCGGTAATTGTTGATCCATAACCGACATCGAGCGAGATTCACGCCGTGATATCCGGTTGAGGGCGAGTTTCACGCCCCTCTATTCGTCATGCATAACCGTTCACCGTGTCTCCCGAGGTCTAAAACTTATACTCGACCCGGGTGCGTCGCTTTACCATATCTGATGCCAGATGTACCGTTCACTCTTCCTGGGTCTCGATACGAAGGGTCTCTGACCTCAATTGCAATCTTCCGGATCCATGCTCCCCCTTCGTTCTCTCATCGGGGAATAGGGGTAGACATTGCCCCCGATTTTACCCGTACACAAATAGTCTCCTCATTTCCGGAGGGTAGATTTATCGAAGCGACGGAAAACGAAAAGTGAACCCCGGTTCCTTCCTTTGTACGCTACGACCGAGTTGTTGGGTCAACGAAACGTCACATCAGTCGCGTCGTTCTGACTTCGGACATGTGTCAGCCGCCGGTTGACTGTCATCGAATGTGAAATGTCATGCATTGATTGTTCTCCCCCTATAAAAACTCCGACTCTTTTTCACTTCTCCACTTTCCGATTCTAGAACTCTTCGATTTACCCTCGAATCCCCTACTTGCCTTTAACTCATTCAAATCTTCATACATTTCTCCTTGGACCTTCATATCTTCATCCTCAATATTCATACATTCTCTTTGAATCTTCAACCCATACCTTCATCCCATCTTCGAATCCTCATATTTTTTCTTCAAACCTTCATATTTTTTTAGATCTCAATGGCAAAAACTTTCAAATCTGTGCCTTAGCAAACTGCTCATTCATCTTCCAACCCGGCCACAGGCGCTGAGGTGACCATTCCTGAGGTGGCCCGGGAGCCTCCCTTGAAGAGCTTTGTACCAGGGGGTTTCTCTATCGGGAATGAATTCAACGTCGAGAAGGCATCTAGTCAACAAGACCGAGGCGACGGAGCATGGAGGTACATATGCTTTATTACTGAGAAAACACTACCCACAGTCCGGGTGGACTGTAACTGGGAGGGCAAAGAGGTGATCGTCCCGGGCCCAACGACGCATCACCACTCACGCGGAGGGGGTACTTAAGTGTTTACACTTACCCCTTCACGCTCGCCTCGGTGGACCCCATAGTCCCCGAGTTCTGTAAAAGGTACGTGGTCTATCTTGGGCAGATCCACTCGTCCTTTTGGAGGATCATAATCCTTCTCCGACACTTCGTGAACAACACCGAAGCACCTCAGTTCACCCTCGACCATCTGCTTCGTCTATACAGTCCCCAAATCTTTCGAGGGGGTTGATCAAGATCGTTCGCCAGCAAACAAGGCTCTGTTCTTGAGCATCGACAAGGACCGAGATCAAGGCTGGCAGGGGAGGTTCGTTCGGGTGAAAACCGAAGACCTCATCTTCTCCGAATTTTTACCGTTTCCCGGAGAAGTGGAACGCCTCCTGTAAGTCTTTTCCTTCTCGAGTATTTGGCATTCTCTTTTATTCTCTTTCTAATTGCTTGTGTTTGTCGTTTGTGTAGCGGTTCCCCAGGTTCCTAATGCAGTCTCCCCGCTTCAAGGAGTGGATCGAGGGGATCTGAAAATAGATGCCATACTCCGAGCGCGCATGACGCAAGCTCTCGAAGGGAAAGTGAGAGGCCCGTTCCCACGGTGAGGCTTTCTCCCAAATTATCACCTTCGTACTTTTGACTTACACATCGCTAAGTCTTCTTTCTTCTTATAGGTTTTCCCAAGACCACCGAGCTCAGGCCCTTGGATGAGGATAAGGATCCGTCCTCGCTTACCGAACCCTCCGCTTCGGGACACCCCGGGGCTGCCGCAAAGGAGGAGAAAAAGAATAAGAATAGGAAGTCCTCGGGTTCCTAGGATGCCAAGGCGAAGAAGAAGAATGTGACCATCTGGTTCCAGGAAATCAAAAAGAGCACCAAGTCCAGGGGACCGGACCCTGAATCCCTCTACCGTCTCAGGGATTATCCCGAGGATGACGACCTTGAGTTCATTGCCCTCAACAAGGGGGAGCAGGCGAAAACCGGGAAAGGTGACCACAAGGTCGATCCGCCTCTAGCTCGGGAACTCATAATCCTCATAGAGTATTACAGCGAGTTTATAGCTAAAGGGTTAAGGATTAATCCGGCAATTGGGAAAATCAATAGCCCTATATCCTTTTACCCATAAATTCAATTTTAGTCTTGATTATTACTAATTTTATTGTCATTTTTCCTTAGCTAAATAAATTCCACTGATTATTCATAAAACTCTTGCATCTATAAGTTGTCTGAGCTTATCATTAGCATTATTTAAAATTGTAGTAAATAGGTTAGTTCCCTGTAGGATTCGACTCCGCACTTGAACCGGGTTATATTTGAAGCGACCGCTTAGTCCTTTTTACAAGGCATAGTTGGGCGTGATCACCCGCGACCCCTTAATTTAATTTGTATGCGATTTTAATGATACATAGTTTAATTTAACATGAATAATTAAGAATATCAGATAAATGAATTAAAGACGAAATAAACGATCAAACCAATTGCAATGTTATGTCCAAGCCTGAACTTGGATTGAATGGTGACCTCGTCCTCGATTGGACCCTCGGTTCGAGCCCAGCTGTGAATGAAAAACATAACAAATGAGCAAAGTCTTTTACAGTAGCTGCAGGAAATAAACTTTTATTACTTTGATTTGCGTGTTACAATGTGTTAGACTAAAGAAAAACTTTCTCTTTATATAGTAGGAGAGCTTCAATCTTAGTGTAAGTCTAAAAAAAAGGTAAAAATCTTCTTTTCTCGGTAATTGTTGATCCATAACCGACATCGAGCGAGATTCACGCCGTGATATCCGGTTGAGGGCGAGTTTCACGCCCCTCTATTCGTCATGCATAACCGTTCACCGTGTCTCCCGAGGTCTAAAACTTATACTCGACCCGGGTGCGTCGCTTTACCATATCTGATGCCAGATGTACCATTCACTCTTCCTGGGTCTCGATACGAAGGGTCTCTGACCTCAATTGCAATCTTCCGGATCCATGCTCCCCCTTTGTTCT